GAAAATTCCTAATCTTCCCCGATTAGGTTGATTAGATTTTACTTCTAATTTTTTGTGAGCACTAAACTTAAGGAGGTTCGATCCTGAGCTTTTGGATAGATTTTCTTTCTTCTAAATTTCTGCATCAAATTTTTGTTCTTGCAATAAATTTGGATTCTAAAATGCCAATTATACTATCTCCAATTAAAAAAACCACGATTACATTCAATGCTAAATCATCAAGTTGGGAAAACTATATTTTGTGGCGGCAGGTTTTTTTTAGGCAGAAAATGATCATTTTTTTCTCATTCAATTTATTTACAGTACTGTTAAGTTTGGATTCTTCTTTTCAATGCAAACTGCACACAGTTATTTTGTGCAGTGAAATGTTTTAATATGCTGGTCGCGAATAATATATTGAATTAAATATGAATTTTATCATCTCTTTTTTTTTTTTAGCAGAAAATGATAATTTTTTTCGAGGTATTCTCAGTACTGTTAAGTATGGATTCTTATGATATTGTGACAATTTATAGCAAATAAATTGTGAAAGCCCAGAAAAAAATCTGCCAGCTTTTACCTTAAAATTAACACTTTTATGGTAATACCTAAATATTTCCATGACGGACCTCCACCTTTAATTTCCTTTTCTGAATATGTAAGATAACTTTGGCCATTCTGCTTAAATTCAGTAAAAGCTAAAGACTTAAAAATAACGAATAAAAATTATTTATATCAGAAAAATGACTCTGTGTGAGTGCAGAAAGGTCAAGTAATTGACTATGCAGAGTAATTTGAAACTTTTTCTTTGTCACAGTTTTTAATGTGTTTGTTTAAGAGAGAATTAGTCTGTATTTGGTACCATGTTTTTTTGGATAAAAAATATTGGAGGAAAAACTTCGAAAAAGTTATTTTAGTGTCAGACGCATTTACAGTGCTAAAAGGTCATATTAAATGCACTGTAGCGCAAAAAAAAGCATACTGACCCCAATTGTTGTTTTTGATTTTTAATTAAGCTGTCTGTGCAGAAACTAAAATTATACTTGAAAAAATTCGATGTCAAGATCCAACCTCCTTAAAACAAACATTCTATACTGGTTTGATTTTGACGTGTCCACCACAGATAGTTGTTCATTTCACTGTAAATGGAAATCGTGTTTGATTGTTAATCTGCAAAACACTTACTCGTCCCCACTTTGCATGTACACTGTCTGTATGAGCAAGCTTCCACCTGACCTTCTGGACAGTCAACCTTTCGGTCACATTCGCCATCATTCTCACAACAGGAGGCTGCAAGAAACGATACTTTTTTCAAAATAAAGAAATAAATAATAAGAATGAGACGAATGATTGCAATTGTTTTAAAGTGAGTAAAACGATTCATTTCTTTAAAAGTAAACTAATTGAAAATCGTTTAATTTTATTTTCTCATTTCATCTTAAGCATCTTTTACATATCAACTTCAGAATAGTTGTATGTAGAATCAGAATTATTTTAACAGAGTAATTTTGTAGATGACCAATCGCAGGATATGAAAATTTACGAGTTCCATTGTCCACGGATTTTTCTTTTTGTCCGATCATGACACGGAGCACATGGCAGGTCTGATCGGTCGGCAGGGGATGCTTCCTCCTCCATGGCACTTCACCTCCGATGTTTTTAGAGGTCCGTGTTTGCTCTGCTCCCGATTTGTATTTTTTATTGGATATTTGAGCTTTACTGTTCGTTAACTTCATATTTCATTTAGGAAGCTGCTGTTTATGATGTCAAAAAGGCTGCTCTTTGATTTATCGTGAGGAATATTTGTATAAACGCAGAAAAGTCATATAAAAAACTTTGATATTTTAAATTTTTCTAAAGCTCTTTTGAGTTTTTTTAGAAGTCATTGTTAAACCTGCTTTAGTAATCTAAGATTAAATTATACTCACCTGTTACAAACAGCCAAAATATGACTACGTGTTTCACAAGTAAATGCATATCCTAGTTGTGTTCTTTCCTGCACCAATCTGCTGGGTATCTGTGAACATCTATATATACCAAACTTCCAGGATATATTTCGAACATATGTGGAAATTTAGTGCTAAAATAACATTAAAGAACTTATTCTACTCCTTAAATAACAGGATTTTATTAGATATATCATTATCTAAATCTTTGAATACACCATACATATCTTGGATCATAAAAAACATATGACATGGTGATCCCTGTACTTGAATTTTTCATTGTATTTCATTACATGCAGTGACCATACAACTTCTTTTCAAGTGTACACATATACATGACAAAGTGCTTCAATGACTTTTTTGCAATTTAAGCTTTATTTTCTGAAAATTGACTGAAATGAAAGGTTAGGATAATTGTCACAGATTGTCGAGCTTACATTTACTTTGTTTTAAATAAATTAAACACAACAAATATATGTCCTTACAAAATTTCATAGTAAGTTTAAGTTGTAATAGATTAAGATAATACATTAAGAATGATGTTTTTGGTCAAACATCTTTCTCACACAGTCTGACGCCAGTTGTACCCACTCCAGCGACTGAAGAAGCTGGACTTACTTTAGAAAAGATCCATTATTATCATGGATTTTGAAAGACGTTTGTTATCAGTCATGTAAACATATACGGTACCAATTTTGATGCACCAGATGCGCATTTCGACAAATTATGTCTCTTCAGTGATGCTCAAGCCGAAACGTTGGAAATCCAAAATATTTAAATAAAAAAGACTTTAAAAAATAAAAAAAAAATAAAAATAAAAAAAAGTGAATTTGGTTCACTTCACTTTCATCGCTATCTAGCAAGGCATTTTTAACTAGTTTAAAATTATTCAAAATTGTTTGAAATCTCTTCATTATACATTAAATACCTTAAGTCAAATTTTCAACTGCCTGTAATAAAAATATGACGATATAGGGCAGCGAGAAATTCAAACATGAGTATATTTTTGGTGCATTTAAACATGTGAAATGTAAATACAAGGAATGTTTTTAATTTTAGTGTGAATTATTGTTGTGCAAATCACACAGACTGGCACAGATAGCTAGCGCTTCATGAAAAATATGCCTACGTGACAAGTCTGTATGATTTACACACCAATTCCTCACACAAAACTGAAAAACATGTTAATGTATAAAAATAAAAAAAAAAATTCTTCGAATTCCATGGAACGACAAAAGACGCTTTCATTTGCAAACATTCTCAAATTGTGTAGATTTGAAAATTACGGATTTCGGTGTTGGGCTAAGATAGGGGATCAAATTTTATATATTGCATGAATACAGGGGAAAGAATTTCTCCAAAACAGCAAGACCATGACAGTCATATTGATCAATGTATCGTTTGTTCTTTGGATTCAGAAATCCATGAGAGGTAGAGTGGGGCCACACTTTTTCATGGGAATAAAGAGAGGGGAGCTTTTTAATTAAGGACGGAAAGGCTAAGATTAATCAAATGAGGGTTGTGACCAATGGATCTCTTGTTTTGCTAAAAAAAAAAAAAAAAAGATAATTTTATTATTTGTAGATTTTTTTCATCATCGAGTGTAGCGAAATTAAGCTTTTTCTGACATTCAAAAAAAAAATCTTATCTCCTATTAAACCAGAATTGCACTAATTGTGTCATAGATTCGTTCAATCCTCGGAACACTTGAATATTTACCCAACCTCATTCATCAATTTATGAGCTGATATACGTGTTTAATTCATAAATAAATCTCCCAACTAAAACCTTTTTTTTTAATTTAATAAAATAATTCGACTTTGAAAGTATACTTTTATCAATTTAAGTATAATTGTCTCTACGTGTAATCCTGGGTAATTCTTGTGGTTCTCTCTTACTGTAAATGTTAAATTCACACTGAAACTCCAGGGCACTCTTTGGATAACGTATTAGCCCTACTGGTTAAAGGACAGAAGATACATGTTTACCCCACCTCTGTTAATTTTTTGATGAAATCCTGGCTTACGATTGGTTGAAGTCTGTCAGGTGAAGGGGGTGTATTACTTATACCTAGTCGCTTGAAAATCAATACATGGTCGATACGGAGTTATCGTTCTTTTGTAACGTTAGAACAACTCGAGTTCACGCGATTTGCCGAGTGTCTGTTGACAATGTTACAGTAAACTAATGTAAGTAACGAAGATGGAACCTTTTTTTCCTTTACTGAAAGTCTTCAAAACTTTCAGTACGTTATAACAGCACAAAACAATCTCAAAACAACATTACGTCACAAACGTGACGTCATAATAGGCATTGTATGAGTGATGAAACATATATAGAGTGAGGAAAACAATTCTACAAACCACAGACAATGCATAAATATTTTATCGGTGGGGTAAATTCGTTACATAGTTTTTTAGTGACAGGGTACGGGATGATACCTGGTTAGTAAATTTCATACCTGGCTCGGCTTCGCCTCGCCAGGTATGAAATTTACTAACCAGGTATCATCCCGTACCCTGTCACTAAAAAACTATGTAACTAATAATACTTAGTCTAGTAAATACAGACTGGGATTCTACAAAAAGTCCTCGATCATTGATAACGAACTCTGACCTTTTTACACAGTCTGCTTTGACCTTAACTTTTGTCTTGGAATCTTAGTATAAGGTTTTTGTACACATTTCTTTATCTGAAATTTAATCCACATTAGACGTAACATTCCTAAATGTGACAGTACAGCACAGTGTAGATTTATGTTTTTCTTATGAACAAAAACATGAACAAGAACAATTTTAAAAACACCTTTTAATTTTTAAGTGGACCTTCTGACAATGAAGCAATTTGAAGATAATACTCTTTTTCTTCTTTAACTTCAAGGATTACATGCTGGTGATACATTTCGATCAAATGAAATGTGTTGCATGAACACTGATGATTATCAAGTTTTCCGGAAATCCAAAGACTATCGACATTTTTTTTAAAGGTTTTAGCACGCATTATTATTTTCCGGCTTTGACACACTGGACCAAAAAAAACCCCATGAGGCATGTTTTTTAAACAATGCATTTAACAGAGATTTAAAACAAGACGAAATTAGAAAATCCATTTCAATTATTTTTGTATATGTTTAGGTATTGCAGAATCGATTTTCACAACCTGGAGATACTATTAGTAAGTAAAACTTGCAACAGACGAAATAGAGATTCGAACTATGAAATAACCAGGTAAAGTACAATCACTGCATTTAGCTATTTAGCTTGATTTACCTATGTAGCTTTATTTTGCTGCTTGAAGTGGCTTCATCTAGCCATTTTAATGCAATTTTTGATAGGTTTACATTAACTTTAATAAGACAAAGAATATGTAGCAGAAATGAATTTTGTTATATGCATTTATGCCTTGTATTTTCAATGTAATGTCATTATTAATATTTTCATGCATATATATATTGTTATAATGCCTTATCCCCCATATTATTTTGTTTATATTTACAAACCTTCTCAGCACGTGTTGCTTCCATCAAATCTTACGGGTAAATGTTTATATTTGATGATCTAAATTCTCATTGGCTATCAATACGGAAGTTAACCTTTTGGGTGTTACTAATTTCAGTCAAAGTTCATACCCTTGGGGTGTATTCACTAGATTTCAAGTTAAAGATTCTATTGTTTCCAAAGAGTATATAAACCCGTGTAACTGTTAGACACGTGGGGAATCTTGGAAAGCATTAACTTGCTGTAAGTTCTCTCACTTTAATAAAGGTTTATTAGGTATTTAACAGGTTGCACCCTTAGAAATTATGTTAAGATATTAGGCATTTTGACTAAATTGTCGTCGTCTATTGCTCCTGTTAAATTTATTAGGCCATAATTCTAAAAGCTAGGAGATAGGTTTTAAGGTATTCTTAAATAAATAAGGGGTTTTTCTAAATTACCCTAGGCCTTTTCCCCCGGCTAGGTTGGGCTAGCGTTTCCGTACGCTAGGTTGGGGGGTGATTTTTATACGGTTGTTGGGATTTTTTTTGACAAGGCAGGAATTTACAGTTGTTATTTTTTTTATACTATATTTTTTTGTTTGTCTATACAAAGGTTAATAAATTTTGTTGTTTGTTGGAACTGGTGTGTTCATTACGACTGACATGAGGTGTTGAATTAAGGTACAAATAAGTTCGGAAATAAGACCAAGCAGAATCTCAAATCAAAATAAGAACCTGGGAAATAATAAACATGAAATTATAGGAGAGTGTACAAAAAAATATTCTAGAACCACTAATGAAAATGGTGTTCTAAAGTTTACTCCTATTACAAATATGAGTGTGAATACTAATATTTGTACTGTGGAGTTTTAAAAAAAAAAAAGCACCCCAGTGCAAACGTAGTTTAAACATTGCTGCTTTTGATCAATTTAAAGGAAAAAGTATATTTCCTTTACACCACCTTGTGTGTGGTAAGGTATGGATAAATATTTGTAACAGTAAATGAGAAAATGACTGGGGCGGAAATTTAACCTGGGACCCCTGCATCACTAGTTAGGTGCTCTACCGACTGAGCTATCCAAGCCGATATCCATGGCCCAAACCATCACATTCCTCCCTCCTTGAATTGTCTTCATCCTCAAAGACACAACCCAAGTTTGTATATGCACCTGGCAGGACTTTCACCTGCGAGTCCAGGGGTGGTCAACGGCATCAATTCTGTAACTGGAAATGAGAAAATATATGGCTGGACTGGGAATTGAACCTGGGACCCCGGCATCACTAGTCAGGTGTTCTACCTTCTGAGCTATCCAGTCTGATATCCACGGCCCAATATGTTACATATGACTACTTCACATTTTGCTGCATTATTATCAGTCAATTATCAAATTGACCAAAACTGATCTTCTTTGTTAGTTCATTCAAGAAATAACTGTTTTGACACAAATGAACTGTTATATATAGCACCTAAAATTTTAAAACTTTGATTGCAATTGTGCTGAAGGAAAAACATTTTCAAGGGTGATTTTTTTTCGGAAATTGTTTTCAGATCAGTTCATCATGCTCATGGTTGGATGAAGCATACTGCATCAAAGTGCAGATTTTTTTGTACATCCTGAAAAAAAAATGCTCATTTAAAAAATTTGTATGATTTAGTTACTGTAGCAAAATTAACTATTCAGATATATAAATAAAGCTATGAAAGTAATTTAAGCTGAGTAGCTAAATGAAGTGATTGTACTGAACTTGATAAAATGAATTTTTACTGTGAAGACAAGAAATTTACCTAGCCAGCCAAAATGAGAAAAAGTATGAAATATTTTTAGTACCTACTTCTTGAAAAGAATGGCACCTGTGTAATCATAGACATAAATAACAGAGATTTGCAACTCCGTCATTAATGTTTATTTACTAAAATACATGATAGTCCTCACTCCTGGCATTATTTTTATTCCAAAACATGTTTTTTGCTCTTATTCAGTTATGTTATACTTAAATTGTAATTAATTTTTAAAACATGTATAAGGGTGCATAATTTTTAAAAAAGTTTTAAATCTATACAATGTTTTACAGTTTATTTAAAAAAACCAAACAAGGAAAATTTAAGAGATCATTGTCGGATCAAAAGTTGGTGAAATCTCAGAGACATGGCTGACTGCAGGTCACCTCCTTTAGATTCCTCATTTGTTATCATATAAAGAAACTTACAACATTATTTAATTTTGAAAAATATGTTGAATTGAATTTAAATGTTTAAGTTCTTTAGACTTGACAATTCTCAAGATTTTTATGACTTGAACAGTGCAGGATTGGAAAAAAGTAAGCAAGGTGTTGTGAGACTATAAACAGTTGTGAATCTCTGTTATTTGCATCTCTGATGAAACGTAGTTGAACCCCCTGTACCTTTGTAGCCTTGGTTACCAGCATCACAGCTCTGTGTCACAGAACTTTACATCCACATGGCATCTCTGATCTAGGATTTGGATCCACAGCCCAATACATATACATTTTTCCATTCCTTTTATAGAATTATCTTCCTTAAACATGTTAAATTTTCAAATTATGTACCACAAAATATTATATATCAAAACACATACACATTGAATAGATTTTTAGAATGTTTTGTTTTTAAGGATTTTAAACTCTACATTTGTATTTTTTTTAAGGAAAAGAAGCGTAGCTTAAGCATGGAGACTGTGATGTATACCTTGAACTGACATAAAAAAAAAGCAAGAGGAAAAGTTTGTAACAGCTTTGGCACTCTAAACTTCTAAAAATCTGTTCCATTTTACTTGGAAAGAAACTGAAGAATGGCAGAAGGAAGCATTGGTAAATTCACTTGTAATAACTGTGGAAAACAATTTAGAAAGCTGGTGTATCTCAAGTATCACGAAGAAAGTCACACTAAGAAAAATAATAAAGATAAAGGAGATGTTAATCATGTGAAGGAGGAAAATCCTGACTCTGATCCCGGTCTTAAAGTGGAAAAGATTGATTACTCCAGTGATGAATGGGATAAAAGTACTTTACCTCCCAGTCCTCAAAGTGAAGGAAGTAGTGAAGATAGCAAGGAAGGTCAGAGGTCAAGTCTGAAGATGAAACGCTTCATCTCAACTCAAAGTCATCTAAAGAAAAGTTATCGCTGTCATGAATGTGGAAAAGTATTTGGACGGTTGTCACATCTTAGGCGTCATGAAAAAATTCACACTGGAGAGAAAAATTTTATTTGTGAGGTTTGTGGCAAAGGTTTTTATCAGGGTACAGCCCTGAAGAATCACATGGTCACACACACAGGAGAAAAGCCATTTCAATGCGATGAATGTGGAAAACGTTTCGTTCAAAATGCAGCTTTAACTGTGCACCTGCAATTGCACAGGGGGGAAAAGTCACACATATGCGATATTTGTGGCAGAGCTTTTGCTCAAAAAAGTAATTTAAAAAAACACATAGAGAGGCATCAGGATGGATCTTCATACAGATGTGAACGCTGTTTTCGAGATTTCAAAACTAAAAGCATTTACCAAAATCATATGAAAAAGCATGAAGAAAAAATCATTGCACACTGTGACATTTGTAACAAGGGTTTCACAACTGAAGAAAAACTCCAGAGGCATGAAAAGGGACATTTAAGAAGTGGTGAACCGATTTGTAAAGTCTGTGGGAAAAGGTTTAAAAACCGTTCTAACGTGGAACGCCATATGATGATTCATACAGGTGACAAGCCATTTGTTTGTGAGGATTGCGGGAAGGCCTTTAATCAGCTACAATACCTTAACACACACATGATGATACACACAGGCCAGAAGCCTTACAAGTGTGAGATCTGTGGCAAAGCATTTGTTCAAAACCAAAACAAAAAGCAACACATGAAAACACACAGTGACCATCCTAAGAGAGTGAAGAAGCAAAGAGAAAATGAACAGACCCTGTCAGCTGATTCCAGTGATCATCCTATGGGAATGATGAAGCAAACAGTGAATGACCAGATCCTGTCAACTGATTCCAGTGATCATCCTATGAGAATGATGAAGCAAACAGTGAATGACCAGATCCTGTCAACTGATTCCAGTGTTCATCCTATGGGAATGATTAGGCAAACAGAGAATGACCAGATCCTGTCAACTGATTCCAGTGATCATCCTATGGGAATGATTAGGCAAACAGAGAATGACCAGATCCTGTCAACTGATTCCAGTGATCATCCTATGGGAATGATGAAGCAAACAGTGAATGACCAGATCCTGTCAACTGATTCCAGTGATCATCCTATGGGAATGATGAAGCAAACAGTGAATGACCAGATCCTGTCAGCTGATTCTGCAAAGTCTTTTGATGCTGGTGAACAAACATTTCTCTGATTCTTCAAGGTAATGCAAGAATCAATTCAAACACTAATCAATTCCAAATTATCCACTTCCTGTCAGCCTTGTCACTTTTTTAGTTTAATATGTAAAATACATAATTATATATGTAGTAATTGCTTACTTTCTTTGTGTAGTTAAGAATAATGATGTCTCAATAAGCATTGGCAGTGTTCATACTTTTCAAAGATGTGATTTCACTACCAGTTCAGCTACATGTATATGGACTAGTTTTCCCTAATTATGTCTTAATTAAATTTCACCTTTACAAAAAGCATAAAAAAGAGATTCTTTCTCATGTTGTTTTTAATTGCAAGATAATTATATAGAGAAGTGGACAGGATGACATCATTAATTCCACACTTGGGCAAAATAAATATGGAGCTTTTCAACAAACACTAAAGCATAATGTAAAAGCTAATAATAATCCTATCTGTCCATTATTCAGTATTATTTGTTATTGAATGTCCAGACCTTTCCTTCAGTTTCTTCACACTAGAGAATTTGGTGAGACACAGTTTTAAACTGTATGCCAAGTTTTTGTTGGCAGTGTGTATTTGACATACTTGAAAAAGATTTTGTTTAGCTTACCTGAACTGCATACATGTTATATGTCTGTTCACTTGTTTATTTTTAAATGGAATAATTAAAGAGTTGTATAAGGTTGGGACAAAAATAAAATATTTCTAGTCTGTGGTCCTTCTTTCTGCATTAAGTGTTGATTTCGAAAGAATTACTGAATTTTTATACCAAGCTTAAATGAGAAAATCTAAATGTCAAATTTATGCAGGTATTCGTTGAAATCACATGGATTCTCAAATCTTCTTTCTGCATTAAGTGTTGATTTCGAAAGAAATTCTATCCACTAAAGAACTACTGATGAGTACAATGGGATTTCCGAGATGCCCAGTATGCAAATGAATGAATGATAAAAGCTAATTATAAAATTGCTTTGTTCAATATTTTTAAAATCTATATTTAGAAGTTGTGTAAAGACTAACAGCATGATGGGTTTTGTCACTTGGTCATAAGATTTGAGAATCCATGTGATTTCAATGAATACCTGCATAAATTTGACATTTAGATTTTCTCATTTAAGCTTGGTATAAAAATTCAGTAATTCTACATTAGAGTTTTAAAAACAGCCATTTTTGTAAATGATTACAGCATAACTGCCATTTTTGAATATGATGATCATGTATAGAGTATATATATGTCTTATTAGATCAAATGTATTAGCAGCTATTACTATTGTAGTATGGAAAGGAGGAATGAGTTAATAATATATATATATATATATATATATATATATATATATATATATATATATATATATATATATATATATATATATATATACTGAAACGCAAAACAAACGCAACAAGCAGTAAACTATAAATATTTGAATTCTTTATCCATTTGACTTTCAAAAATGAATACAGTAAGGTAAAACACGATTTAAAAACATCAGAGATTTGATAAAAATGTTAAATGATTATCTTTTAACTTTAGAAAGTAACACATGACTGTTAAAACACCCCCCACCCCGGCCATTAAATTACAGCGTGCAAGACAGCCATACACAACAACTGCAGCTTGATTTCTACGATGCAATAAGTTTATCTATCTCGAGATCTGAGCGAAAGAAATATTTTTTGCCATTTTTAAATGCCCGTTTTTCAGATGATAATGTCGAATTTTCTCTAGCCTAGCGCAGTGTAGTAACCCTTGGACTTTCGGTCCAAGGACTGTCATTCATGCTAATGATACGTAAGAGCCTTTTGAGGCGTGATGTAGTGCATATTTGCATCTGCAACTCTCCATCACCTTTATTTTGAGATTTTCCAGATAGAGCAATGGAAATGCGTATTTACGTCATTTACGTCATAGATAATGGGTAACTCAATCGAACAATATCGTGCTGCAATTGGTCTTTTCTATTTATCTGGCAGAGGTACATCAAAAACATGTTTATGGTTGTTTTTTTCATGCGCATGTATATTGCAACTAATGAAAAATGTTTTTAGAATACTCACTCAGTGCTTGACATCCATTACACTAAAATCTGTGTACATCAACTTTTATTTACAATTTTTCACATATTTTCTATTGGCATGTGGTGACATTGAGGTCAATCCGGGCCCTGTTATTGAAAATGTCCTTGACATTCTACACCTTAATATCCGAAGTATTCGACACAAACTAGGTCATTTAAACTCTTTCGTTCACGACTTCGATCTTTTATGTTTTACAGAAACCCATCTTGACAATACCGTAAATAATGAAGACTTATATTTGGATGGATTTTGTAATATAATAAGAAAAGATAGGAACTGTTTCGGGGGAGGTGTCATGATTTATTTCTCTAACCAAATACGTGTTATTAGACGCCATGATTTTGAACCCTCTAACATTGAATGTATATGTATCGAAATTGATAACCATACCTCTAAAATCTTTTCATGCTGTGTATATCGTCCTCCGAACTCTGATAGTGGTTTTTAGCTCACCTGAGCCGAAGGCTCAAGTGAGCTTTTCTGATCACATTTTGTCTGTAGTCCGTCTGTCCGTCTGTCCGTCTGTAAACTTTTCACATTTTCGACTTCTTCTCAAGAACCACTGGGCCAATTTCAATCAAACTTGCCACAAAGTATCCTTGGGTAAAGGGGATTCAAGTTTGTTCAAATGAAGGGCCACGCCCTCTTCCAAGGGGAGATAATTAAGAATTCGTGAAAAATTAATGGCATCATTAAAAAATCTTCTTCTCAAGAACCACTGTGCTTGAAAACATGAAACTTATGTGGAAGCATCCTCAGGTAGTGTAGATTCAAGTTTGTTCAAATCATGACCCCCGGCGGTAGGGTTGGGCCACAATGGGCGATCAAAGTTTTACATAGGAAATATACAGGAAAAATCTTTAAAAATCTTCTTCTCAAGAACAGCAAAGCCATACTTGGTCATATTTATATGGTAGCATCCTCAGATAGTGTACATTCAAGTTTGTTCAAATCATGACCCCCGGGGGTCGGGTGGGGCCACAATGGGTGATCAAAGTTTTACATAGGAATATATAGGAAAAATCTTCAAAAATCTTCTTCTCAAGAACAGCAAAGCCATGATTGGTCATATTTACTTGGAAGCATCCTCAGGTAGTGTAGATTCAAGTTTGTTCAAATCATGACCCCCGGTGGTAGGGTGGGGCCACAATGGGCGATCAAAGTTTTACATAGGAATATATAGGAAAAATCTTTAAAAATCTTCTTCTCAAGAACAGCAAAGCCATGATTGGTCATATTTACATGGAAGCATCCTCAGGTTGTGTAGATTCAAATTTGTTCAAATCATGACCCCCGGGGGTCGGGTGGGGCCACAATGGGCGATCAAAGTTTTACATAGGAATATATAGGAAAAGTCTTTAAAAATCTTCTTCTCAAGAACAACAAAGCCATCATTGGTCATATTTATATGGTAGCATCCTCAGGTAGTGTAGATTCAAGTTTGTTCAACTCATGACCCCCGGGGGTCGGGTGGGACCACAATGGGCGATCAAAGTTTTACATAGGAATATATAGGAAAAATCTTTAAAAATCTTCTTCTCAAGAACAGCAAAGCCATGATTGCTCATATTTACATGGAAGCATCCTCAGGTAGTGTACATTCAAATTTATTCAACTCATGACCCCCGGGGGTCGGGTGGGGCCACAATGGGCGATCAAAGTTTTACATAGGAACACATAGTAAAAATCTTCTTCTCAAGAACAGCAAAGCCATGATTGGTCATATTTATATGGTAGCATCCTCAGATAGTGTACATTCAAATTTGTTCAAATCATGACCCCCGGGGGTCGGGTGGGGCCACAATGGGCGATCAAAGTTTTACATAGGAACACATAGTAAAAATTCTAAAAAAAAAAAAAAACAATTTATTAAGAATAGCAAAGCCATGATTGGTCATATTTATATGGTAGCATCCTCAGATAGTGTACATACAAATGTGCTCGAATCATGACCCCCGGGAGTCGGGTGGGGCCACAATGGGCCATCAAAGTTTTACATTGGAACACATAGTAAAAATCTTTAAAAAAAAACTATTTGTTAAGAATAGCAAAGCCATGATTGGTCATATTTATATGGAAGCATTCTTAGATAGTGTACATTCAAGTTTGTTCAAACATGACCCCTGTGGGTCGGGTGGGGCCACAATGGGTGATCAAAGTTTTACATAGGAATACATAGGTTAAATCTTTAAAAATCTTCTACTCAAGAACAGCAAAGCCATGATTGGTCATATTTAAATGGAAGCATCCTCAGATAATGTAGATTCAAATTTGTTCAATTCCTGACACCCCCCCCCCCCAACCACTTTTATATTTAAACTTTTCAACCTTTCAAGATTGAAGTGATTTCTGCTTTTTCCTAGCCATAGTGCTCAGGTGAGCGATGTGGCCCCTGGGCCTCTTGTTGGACCAAACTTTCATGGTGTATTGACAAAATGAGTGAAAAATCGGATAAAATAGTTTTAGTTGGTGATATTAATGTTGATCTTCTTAATACTCCACAAACACATATCATCCATGAAATTATTTCAACACACAACCTTGTTAATAATATTATCGAACCGACAAGAATTACGCACACGTCGAGCACGCTCCTTGACCCAATTCGCACTTCTGTTGACATTCAAGTTCGTGAATCGGGTACATTAGTAATGGACTCTTCCATAAGTGACCACAGAGCTACATATATATCGCTTTCTTCAAACATAAATTATAATCGATCTTACAAAAGAAAAGTGTGGGCTTATAAAAGAGCTGACTTTGAAAAACTAAATTCTTTAATTGAAAACTGTGATTGGAATAAGAACATAAACGAGGCTCATACAGTAGATATAGCATCAGAAAACTTTACTTCTGAATATCTTTCGTGTGTTCGTGAATGTATACCTGAACAAACGGTAACCATACGTCCTCGTGACAAACCATGGTTTGACTCACTTTTAAGGAAAACAATGAGAACTAGGAACCGACTTCGTAAGAAAGCACACAAAACTAAAAAAGATTCTGATTTTGCTGCATACAGAACGGTTCGAAATTCGGTAAATAATATGAAAAAATATGCGATAACAAATTACTACGACAATATAGATACATTCTTAGAGGATTCAAGCAAAAATAATAATAAACTATATTGGAAGTTGATGAAAGACGCATTCAACGTGAAATTGTCTAACGAAATCCCACCAATAGAAATAAATAATGATAACGGTATAAAACATTTTGCTTATTCAGATATCGATAAGATTGAAGCGATAAATTCGTATTTTTCTTCAATTTCGACAATTGACGATTCAGATGAAACATTGCCAAACATGTACAATTTGTGTAGTGACACACTCTGTAATATTGTCATCGAGGAACAAGAAGTAATAGATATTATATCAATTCTTCCCGTGAACAAAGCCATAGGTCCTGACTGTATTAGTCACAAAATGTTAAAATCTACTCTTTATACAGTTGCTAAACCACTTACATTGTTGTTTAACAGGTCTTTATCAGAAAAAACGTTTCCAGCTTTTTGGAAAATCGCTCATGTTATTCCCCTGTTTAAAAAAGATGATCCCTCTTTAGTTTCTAATTATAGACCTGTGTCGTTACTATCTTGTGTTAGCAAAATTATGGAGAGAATTATTTTC